CAAACCCCAATGGTATTAAGGTGTGGCATGACAAACATGATTGTAGATGGACACTTCAATGGATTTGTTGTTATTGCTAATGGTGATTTTTGAACGAATGTTTTGCTAATATCAAGAATTGTAAAAATATACAATGTGCCTAATCTTTTGGAAAATCCCTTGAACACATTAAGAGTGATGAATAAGAACACAGTATGTTAAAAGACCTTGTGATACTGATGTTTCACAGGGCTTGTCTACACTTACATTTTATAGCACTCTAACATGCTGGCTCAGGGGTGTGAAAAATCACCCCCTGAGCGCAGCAAGTCTGAGCGCTTTTAAGCACTGGTGTGGACAGGCTCCCAGCGCTCGGAGCTGTTCCCCTCGTGGAGGTGGATTACCAGGAGCGCTGGTAGAGAGCGCTCGTGCGCGACCACACTCGCACTTCAAAGCACTGCCCACATTGCGCTTTGACGTTTCCAGTGTAGACATACCCACAGTTAATGCCTGTGAACAGTATTGGAACTTTTCACAGGGGAAAAGACGTTCCAAACCTGATGTGCTGTATGAAAAGGGAAACTGAGGCACACTAGCATATTGCTTTCACGGCTAAATGCCAAAATTCCTGTACTATGGACAACATTCATTTCTACATGTTAATTGGGTTCCAAACATTTGCCAGAGCTTGTATGGATACAATAGCTATTGAAGGGAGCTGCATCATCTCCATTGTGTCTTCAATCCTGCTTCTGACCTCTGGAGGGACTTTGCTACACTGAAGCTCTGAGCTGAAGGACCCATCCCAGCTGGGGATGTTCCAGAGACTTGATTTGAACCTGCAGTTTATTCCATCCCTGCTACAAGCCTGAACCAAGAACTTTGCCATTCCTGTATGTAATTGATTCCATTTAACCAATTCTAGCTCTCATCTTTATTTCTTTAGATTCTAAAGGATTGGCAACAGCATGATTTGTGGGTAAGATCTAACTGGGTATATTGACCTGGGTCTGGGGCTTGGTCCTTTGGAATCAGGAGAACTTTTCTCTTTTACTGGGGTATTGGTTTTCAGAACCATTCGTCCCCATGACGAGGGGCACTGGTGGTGATATTAGGAAACTGAAGTGTCTAAGGGAATTGCTTGTGTGAACTGTGGTTAGCCAGTGGGGTAAAACCGAAGTCCTCTTTGTTTGGCTGGTTTGGTGTGCAAAGGGGCGGTGACTGCCCTGCTCTAAGCAATTTGTCCTGAATTGATACTCTCAGTAGTGTCCTGCCAGAGGCCGCTTTGTTACAGGGGCGTTTTGCACGGGGGTGGTGGGACATGGCGTGCCTCCTCTGTGCCCGGGGCGGGGACTGACCCAGCAGGGTGGTGGTTGGCCCCGGGGCTGGCATGGAGCCGGGGTGTTTTGAGGCAATACAGTGACGTGTTCGGAGGTGGTGTTGCCGAGGCACATCACACACAGCGCCATGCGAGACCCTGTTGCCAGAGCGGTGACGTTTCTGACGCCACCACTAACGCATTGTGATGGGACGCGGTGACGGAATCTGACGTGTCTTTCCCACGCTGCCCCCTGAAGCCGTGACGATGTCAGAGCTGCCTTTTGAACATCCCCAGGCTCGGTGGCATTACTTTCCCGGGCAGCTGTGCCACGCTGTGGGATGGTGGTGAAGTTCTGCCGCAGTCCGGTGTTGCTTTGTCACGGCACGTTGTGAATTGAGTCGGCAGGACAATGTGTGGATGCAGCGTCCTCCCTTTGTGCTGAAACCGCCGGTGGGAGCTGAGTTAGTGAGCTTGTGATTAGCATCAGTTACACGCCACAGGGAAAGGACCCAGAATAAGTGTCAGGAAAATAGATCCCAGACAAAAGAGACAAGTGAAACACTAACTCTGTTTTCTGTTTTCGTTTAGATCCTATCAGAATGAGCCCGGCGGCCTTGTGGCTGTATCCAAGCAACAGCTGAAATGCAGCCACCTCTGGGGCAGGATGCATCAGCTGTTTAACAGCACCCAGCAAGTTTAGGACAGGAAGTGGCGGAGAATCCTATAGCTGATTGACTCTTCAGGAGGATGTTAGGAAGGCAGAATGGAATTAGCCGGGTTGGAATTAGGTCAAGACAGAAAAGGCCAAGATTAAGGCAGTGAACTGGGACTCTGGAGATCTGGATTCAGTTCCTAGCTCTGCCACCGGCTGCCTGGGAGGACTTGGGCCAGTCCCTTCATCTCTCTGGAGATAGTGCTCCCTCCTTGGCCCCACCCATTATGTAAACTGAGAATGACCTGACCATCCACTCGGATCTTCTGGAGGAGGGCTGGCCCCAAGGGTGCAGCTACCTCTTGGGGGGAGACAAGGAGGGTCCCCACCACTCTTGAATTTTGCAGGCTTGTCCCAATTTTAATACAGTCGGCTGCACGTTTCCCTTCCCAGGATGAGCCAGGACCGTTCATCAGCCTCTTCTACACCCGGGGATGGGCAGCGGGGCCTTGACTTCTCTCTCATTCCTTCCCCTTCTTCGCTGCTTCCAGCTTTGATCCTTCCGAGTCCCGGCTCTGGGGCTGCGTTTCCTGGCGTGGCCTGGGCTGTCCGTACGATGGACGGTTCTTGGGCTGTCCAGAGCCCCATTCTCCTCTCCGAGAGGGCTTCGCACTGCTGACTTGGGTGGAGTTACTCTGGTTTTCACCGGTGTCAGCAGCAGGAGAATCAGATCCTTTGTGACTGCCAGTGCTTTGGGGGCCCCTTTGTCTGTCTTGGTAGAGCGCCTAGTGCCGTGGGGATCCCAGGCCTTGCCTGGGGCTCCTAGCCACAGATCATATCATCTGGCTCCCATCAGCGTCACGCCTGGGCCCCTCTGGATCTGTGATGTGTGGGAGGTGGGGGGCTCTCGTCTCACAAACAGCTGGGTGTTTAGATGGCGTGGACGGCTGCCTGGCTGCCCGGCTCCATCTCAGGGCACGATGGATGCGGGAGGCGGCAGGTACGTGAAGTATCAGCAGACCGGGAAAGAGCTGGCAGGGCTCCAAAGACGGGGAACCTGAGCCTTCGCGCTCGAGAGCCAGGAGCACTGCGGAGATGAAATTAGCCTGCAGTGGACTCCAGACGCAGCACCAGCTCCCGAAGGGTGAGTCGGCAAAACAGCCTGTGGGGTCTGAGCTCAGCGCGGTCGGCTGGCGTCAGAGCTGGATTTAGAGCTGGCATAAGGCAGGATCTGAGTCTGGTGAGCTCAGTAATCCAGCTCTGAGTCACTGGGACAGCAAGGCTGGGGGGCGGAGGGGGCTGGTCCTTGGACATGGGATTGGGGGTGTTGGGGAGCCCAGGGAAGGAAGAGGTCTGGGACGCATGACTCAGTCGAGCCCCCAATCTGCTCTAGTCCCTCTTTCCCTCCAGGGGGCTGACAGCCTCCTGTTTGGTTATTCAGCCCAGTGCCAGGCAGGGAAAGACGGGACTTGGAGCCCCAGGGCTGGAGTTTTGGGTGCAGAATGTGCAAAGATGGGCCCTGCGACGACCTCGTGTGATGGAGTGGGGATTAGTGATTTGGAAGGAATATTGTGCGTGCCTCGGTTTCCCCTGTGTGGTGCCTGGTTAACTAAGTGGTGGGTAAAAGGTTGTTTATTCTTGGCAAAGACCCAGAGATCCAGGTCTGACTGAGGCCGGGCTGTCTGGACCTAGGGCCCCAGGCCCATGGACAGTCCCAGAAGACAATGGCCCCTTCCGTTGCCCCGGACATTTGGATCCTAGCAACTAAGGACCATGGATGGTTCCCCCTCCGCAGGAAGCCAGCAGGTTGTGGAGAACAAAGGGCTAAGGAGGATGGGCAGGTGAAGAACAGAGGATTGAGGAGGGGCCCCATGGGGTTGTTAGGGGTGGGCTGTCAGAGGGAGGAGACAGGCTCCTGGACTTTGCTGTAACTTTGTTCTCTGTAAAAAGAACAGGAGTCCTTGTGGCACCTCAGAGACTAACACATTTATTTCAGCACAAGCTTTCGTGGGCTACAGCCCACTTCTTCAGGTGCATATAGAGTGGAACACACAGACAGAAGATATTTATCCATACAGAGAACATGAACAGGTGGAAGTACGCGTACCAATTGTAAGAGGCCAATCAACTGAGATGAGCCATCAGTAGCAGCAGAAGAAAAAACTTTGAAGTGAGAATCGAGATGACCCATAGAAGGTGTGAAGAGAACTTAACATGGGGGGGAAAAAAAATTCAATTGTTCTCTGTGTTAACTAAGGACTGTCTGCGCCGTGTCCAGATGGCTAAGAAACCCTCCTGCTGTTACCCCGCTGGCTGAGAGTCACTGCAGAGTCCGGAAGCCGGGGGTGCAAGTCTCCCTCGGGTGCTCAGTCCAGGTGGACTCGCTCCAGGGAGCTCCCAGCTCGACACCGGGGTCTGACGGCTCCGAGGTTCGGTCCCAGCAGACGGTGCAGCTGAGGGCTGACCCCAGTGAGAGTGTGACGGCTCCAGAGCTGTCGGAGAGCACCGGGCCTGTGGCGCCTTGATACTGAAAATCGGTTCTTTAGCAGGATCCCAGAGCACTTTAGAGACGGCGTTTGCAGGGATCGTTCACTCCCGGCTGCTGTGCAGCTGTTTCTGGGGTGGAACGTTGCAGCTGTTTACCAGCATGCAGTAACCCTATGCCACGGCCTGGGACGGGAGTGGAAGAAGTACCAGGCCAATGGGATCTTCATTGCCCGTGACGGGTGTGGCCGTCCGTGGCCGTGGCTGAAGTGTAAGATGGCACCTCTAGCAGCGTAGTCCACAGCTGGGTCCTCCTAAGGAGAAGGGCAGCCCCTACTCAGCCGTGTCGCCCACTCCTCACTCGGCGCCTTTCCCAACGCAGCTCCAGGGCTGAATTTAGCTACTCGCACCAGGAGACGCTCTGGCTGGAGCTTCCAGAGTCGCTTGGCCCAAAGTTAGCACAGTGACCGTGTAAAAATAGCCCTGGCTGACTCCCCGCGCGCCTGGGCGACAGATCTGCTGCCTCCAGCGACACAACCACGTTCTCCGGAGCCCAGCCAGCCGGGGGGGCGTGTGGGGATCGAATTGTTCCCTGTGTCGGAGGCAGAGAGCCCAGCCGGGCCGGACGTGCTGCGGGCGCTCGGCATCTTCTGAGAACCAGGCCTGAGGTGGCTCAAGTTGGGGTCCCCCACATCAGTGCCCGGTTCTGAGGGTTGGGAGTTGCCCCCAGCCGGTGGCAGTGCTGGGAACGGAGCCCCGGAGCCCTGCACTGTAGCCACTCAGTGGGGTCAGACTGGGAAATAAGGGGGGGTGTTGAGCGCCGACCTCCTGACATCCAGTGGGGCTGGGCCGCGGTTCATCGTGGACTCGCTAAGCTCTGCGGGGCCCTTCTGCGGTGGGGGGGGGGGCAAATGAGCAGCGGCACCTCCCAACCGCCCCCTGCCGGGGCCCCCAAAGGGACCCTGCCCCCCTCTCCACACGAGGGATGGAGGCGTTAGCCATGCTCGGCACTGGGAATCTGAGTCCACCCCTCCCCGCGATGAAGGGGACGGTTCACACTTCTCTGAGCTATTGGCCCAGGCTCTGTGCAGACTCCGGCAGACGTAGCTGCCTGGGTTACTCGTGGGTCACGTTTCTGAGGTTTCCTTCGCCCCTCTGACGGCTAGGCATGAAAGCTGAGATTCCGGAGGCCGAGCCGGCCACTGCAGAGAGGTGCCAGGCGGGTATATGGGCACGGACCAGCTGATTCCATGCCCTGTCATCACGTTGCCATCCGCCCTCCTCCCTCTACTCTCTAGCTTCTTCCCCTCTGTCTTCCATGGGGGAAGGATGCTCCCGGGAGGGGCGGAAGGACTCGGCCCTGGGACAGGGTTCAGAGAGTTCTGTTCTCAGTGCTCCGCTCCCAGCCCCTGATGCTCTTTGGCTCCAGCTATTTCCACACCCACAGAGGTTTTTCCCTTCTCTGGCCTAGTTCTTTTTGCCAGCCCCACCCACCGCCCCCTGAGGCACTCACGAGACTCAGCTCCCCCTGAATTGGATCCAGCCGGCTCGGGGAGCCAGGGCCGGCCCAGCCCCGCTGCCAGCCCCTGACGTCGCTTGGCTGCCACTGAAAGGGGCTCTCAGAAGCCAGGGGGAGCGGAGGGGTCGAAGCCAACCGAATCTTCTACCCCAGGGACGCTGCCTGTGGAAGTCGGCACTTGTATTGAAGCAGAAACGCTCCGAGGGGGGGCACACAGCGGCGTGATTCCAAGAGGGGACACGCACATGCCGGAGCTGTCTCCAGGGCGAGGGAATCAGCCCAATGCCAATTCCATGACGCCTCCCATTGCAAAGGGACCCCGGCAAACGTGCCCTTGGTGAGAGCAGCCAGCCGGCGGGCGGCACGGGGCAGCTCTGTCCCAGGGCACAGTGAGGCCAGGCTCCAGTTTTAGGACAGGAAGTGAAGCAGAATCTCAGATGCTGACCGATGCCGGCAGCCCCAATGGCGTTCTCCCAGCAGGCTGGCCCTTCCACCCTACGGGCCAGGGCAGATCCTTCAGGCCGTGGGGTCTTCGCAGCCAGGCTGGAGGGCTTTTTGGAAGATGGTTTAACCAGACACGCTGGGTGCAGTGCAGGAGGGATGGGGGACAGTCTCTGGCCTATGACATGGGGGGCAGACAGGTGATCTGTGAAGCGGCCATTTGCTGGTCAATATTGGGTGTTTTTCGTCCCGCTCCACTGGGCAGAAACGCAGGCGTTGATCCCAACGGGTGCCGCTGACGGTCGGGATTGTTCTCCAAGCCCCGGGTCCTTGAATCCTGCCATGACAGAAGATGTTCAGCCTGGCCCCTTGCTACAAAAGCAAGGGAACTTTCTGGCCTTTGTGGTGGCAGAGAAAAGCTTCACCCCAGCCCGAGTGGGATCCAAAGGGGGAGAGCCCCAGATCGTTGTTTTAAAAAATTCTCGTGGGTTTGAAACTAACCTCCGGCTCTTGGGGTCGGCAGGGGGTGAATGTAGCCGGCGCAAGGCAGCTTTACAGACCCTCCGCAGTGGTTCTCAAACTTCTGTTCTGGTGCCCCCTTTCACCCCGCAATCGTCTGCATGCGACCCCCCTTATACATTTCAAACACTTCATATATTTAACCTCCTTATAAATGCTGGAGGCAAAGCGGGTTTGGGGTGGAGGCTGCCAGCTCGTGACCCCCATGTAATAACCTCGCGACCCCCTGAGGGGTCCCGCCCCCCAGTTTGAGACCCCTACCCTACAGAAGAGCAGCAGGGAGCGAGAGACTCTGAGAGCGTCTTGCTTTGCGAACCAGGCTCCAGGACCTGGCTTTGGGGCGTGGCCGTCGGGCCGCGTTTCGAGCCGACAGATGGCCTAGTGCCCCCTCCATGCCGAGGGCTGAAGGGACGCCCCGAGGCTCGGTTTCATTTACACCGGCTGTTCCTTGTTTCCCACCCACAACTGCCTCCGAGTCCAGACCCCCACGGAAGCCGGACCTGAGCGACACCAGCCTTCTCCCGCCGGATGCTGCCGAGAGGGCGGGGGGAATTTGGGGGTCTGATCTCAGGTCTCGGGTGTGGCACAGAATGTTTTGGGGGGGACATGCAGGTGGAGGGAGTTAACGGAGGCTAACGCCATATGCTCCCTTGGGCCGGTGGCTTGAATGGGGCCCGTTCCCAGGTTCCACTGCGAAGGAAGAGCTCGTGGGGCCATCAGGCAGATGGTCCCAGAGATGGGGCTCTGCAAAGGGGCGGGGTCCCCCCATCTGTCCCAGCACTGCCTCGGCCCTGGAGAGCAGAAGTGAACCGACTGGGGGAGGAAGGTCAAGAGTCGCCTGATTCTTGGGCTCCTGCATCCAGCGTCCGAGCTGGAGCCAACTCGTAAATAGCTTGTAACGCCCGTGGGGAGCGGGAGCGGTTTAAAAATAGCTGGAAATGTGCTGGAAAAATGTGACGCCCACCGTGCTCCCGTTTGGGGTCAGGCCTGTACTCCAGGGCCCAGCCGTTTGCAACCGTCCTGCAGTGGGAGCAGCACTGCCCGCCCTTCCTGCCCAGGAGGGGAGAGCCCCGGGGCTTCACTCTTACCCACTTTTGCAAACTCCCTCCAGCCCACATTGTGTAACGAAGCACGGGACAGCGTGTAGGCATTGCCCGCTGCTGGGGGGGCTCTAGCCCCTTTTCCCAGCCTCTCCCAGCAGGGGGTGCTGGCTGCAGAGGGTCACAACTGCCCCAGTCCCAGCCGGCGCCCTATGGCGGCTGGGGGGGGGAGCTCTGGCTGTGGGGACCTCAGCGGCAGGGAGCTCGCTGGCAGGGGCTTCCCAGCTGCTCCAGCCTTTGGCAGCCAGAGGCAGCACCCCAAGGTGCTTTGCAGATTGACGCTGGCAACGATCAGTCCCTGCCTGTTAACATGCAGCCGCCTCTGGGGTGGAACGTGGCGGCTGGTTCACAGCGAAGAACACGGGGTTGGCCCGCCCGCTGCCCCTGGTGCTGCGGGAACTGGGCCATGTCCTTAGTGGGTGACTCGTTTGCTTGTTCTGAGCCCATCCCCCTGCAGCCCAGTGACCCCAAGGGGGTGAAACATGCGCAGCCCGGCGGCCTGGCCAGCCCCCCCCCCGGCCGATCCGGCTCCTCCCCCGCCCCGCCCCGCCCCGCCCGCGCTCCTGGCTCCCCCCCAGAGGTGGCTGCATTTCAGCGGCGCTTCCCCTTGCAAAGCACATGCTCGGAGGGGGGGCGGCGCCCTCGGCAGCTGCCCGGCCCCGAAGCCCCGGCCCGGCCCGGGGGGCGCTGCTCAGCCGGGGCTTTCCCACGCACCTGTCCCGGGGCCGGCAGCATGCGGGGGGCGCCGGGCGCCTGGCTCTGCGGCCTCGGCCTCCAGCTCCTGGCGGGCGCCGCCTTCAACCTGGACGGGACCGACCCGCTGCTGAAGGACGGGGCCGGCGGCAGCTTGTTCGGCTTCTCCGTGGCCCTGCACCGGCAGCTCCGGCCCGAGCCCGCCAGCTGGTGAGTGCGGGGGG